AGTGTTGCAATTCTGTCTTGGAAATTTCTTTCGGTGAAATATACACGCTCTCCATGTTCTAAGTGCACAGCAAGATGAGTAACTGTTGGGTGCCTTTCGTGTAAAGGGAAGCCAAGGAGACGCCACGCTGCCTCGTTACTGCTGACATAACACCCTGCTTGAAAGGTCTGTACTTCATTGACGGGATTTGTCTCACCTTCACTCCTGAAATTAAATATTGCTTGGTCGCTTCCTTTATTTATGTACTTTCAAATATACTTGATTGCGCGGACTGAGCTATTTGCTTCTACATTAATGTGGGCATTAAGCATTTGACATAGAATGGGCGAATACGGGACAATCAAGCCGTTATCTAAGGTTTCGAACGCTCCAGAGCGAGATTTGATTGTAACTTTCCTGCCACCATATTCGGGAGCTCTGCGTCTGTATAAAGGGTAGCCATTGTCATTGTGCACTGTTTCTTTTAATAGCTGTTTAGGGAATTTCTTCGTCCATTTTCCTTCTTTCATACATGTCGATATTGAATTTCGTGCTCCGTATGGACAACGTATTCATATATTCGGATGATGGTATCATACAATTCTTTATCTTGCTCAGGATCCGGAATCTCGACGCTTATTATGTCGTCTATTTGACTAAGCCGCAACTTCTCTTTAAGCCATATTAGAATGCGGGCACATCCTCCTTTTTGCCACTCAATTGAATACATGTAGCACTGCACCTCTCCGAAAATTTTCCCTTTGTTAATTACATACATTAATTTTTGTACTTTTAATATAAATACTATAGCAACTAAATCGTGTCTGTCAGTACTTTTTTGGCCCGGCATTAGCTCCTCGGTTATTTCTTTCCATGTGGGATTGCAAGTAAAAGTAACAAAAATATCAGGTCTTCCGTAAGTTCGTACATAGGCGAATGCGTTTTGTGTGTACTCATGTAGGTAGCGGGGACTGTTAATGAATGATGAGGGCAGAATTACCATTTTACCTAAATCTCTGGGGTTTACATTGGCGTCGCTTGAAACTGCATTTTGTAAATGTATATAATTCTCAACGCGCAGTTTTTTTGATTTAAATATATATAACGGAGACGTTCACTTTCTACCTTCACATACATGTCTACCAAAAATTTATGAAATAATTGTCTACACCGGGCTAAGAGGTTAAAATCATTTTCTCGTAACATCATATGATACGCATAAAAATCCATACATGATACGTTTTTTTCGAAGTAGGCTCCTTTGTGACCGGGTTAATGAGTGGGATTTGAAAATGATAATCCTCTTGTCATAAAACTTGTGTGTATCGGCTACCCATTGCAACGTATCATCGCGTGCTCGCACGACAATGTCTCGTGAAGAAAATTGGTCACCACTAATTACGGCTGCTATTTCGTTTATCAAAGGTGCATTGTAGCGCCTTTCATGCTCTCCTAGAGGGCTCGGATCTGCATGAATGACGACTTTATAATCCTCTTCAGGTAGGTTTTCCAAAGCAGTTTTAAATGTTTTGACTAAAATGTTACGTTCATGCAAGAATCTTTGAATTTTGAACACTGTGTCTCTCTCAACTCCTTGAATAAATTGGCAGCGACGGTCTACCTAAATTTCTTCGTCACTCATAAAATATACTTGTAAAAATTTATGCTGTTTTTTTTTCAGCTGGAAAAAAGTGAACCCATTCTATGAAAAATTTGCCCTTGCACCGTAAATGTAGGCGAAAATCCCGGCATTATTATTTCCCGGTCAACTCCGAAGGACGTCATTTGAAAGCATGAGTTATATTTCCGGATCCTGTTTAAAAAGCGCCGTGGCTCATTAGCATCAAATAAAAAAAGGGTTTTCAAAGGATCTTCTGGTTCCCCAAGTAACGGAAGAGATACTTTGCCATTGGAACAGAACATGCCTGCAGTCTCATCTTTCCATTTTAAAACGCTGCAAAATCGATACGCCTTTTCCATCAGTCCGATAACAACTAACCTGTGATTTTTATAATTAATCAAGGGATCATAATTGAATGCTGCGTCATTAAAAACCGACCAATTGTTACTTTGAAAATTTTGTCGACGTTCAGCTTGGAGCTGTGCATTTGCATCTCTTCACGCCTGTGTCTGTTCTGGTGTTTCAGATGCCTTTATAGTAGAAGAGTTTCATCAGGTGCTTCCGCGACTCTTAAGGCGGCCTGACGTTCCGCTTGTTCGAATAGCCTTTGCTGACTTTGAGCAGGTGTTTCAGTAACTCCTAAAGTAGCTTGAGGCTCTGCCTGTTCAAGACGCCTTCGCTGACTTTGAGCAGGTGTTTCAGTAGCTCTTAAAGTAGCTTGACGCTCCGCCTGTTCAAGACGCCTTCGCTGACTTTGAGAAGGTGTTTCAGAAGCTCTTATAGTAGCTTGACGCTCTGCCTGTTCAAGATGCCTTTCCTGACTTCGAGAAGGTGTCTCAGATGCTCTTAGATTAGCCTGACGCTCTGCTTGTTCTTGCCTTCTCAATTCAGCATCTTCTAAAGATTCTAGCGATCGAGCTAATCTTTTCGCTTGTCTTTGAGAAGGTGCTCTTGAAAGGCTTGACTTACGTTTGCGAGGCATTATGAAGTAACAAAAAATCTATTTATAAAAAAACGTTAAAATACCTAAAAGGAATTAAATTTCCTTTTAAATATTTTTTTAAAAGCAAATCCAAAATATCTAAAAGGAATAAATATTCAAAACAACAAAACCAATTCAAGACACAACACGAATCCGAAAACGATAGCCAAAAAATCGAATGAACTTAAACCAAATCACAAAACAAATCGCAGGAAACCGAAATCGAAAGCAGTAGTCAATATAAATATAACCAACGAAAAAAGAAGTAAGTGTATAGGTACCGTATACACAATCTATACTATTAATATTCCTTTGAAATATTGTTAAACAACCTTAAACAACTAAAACACGACACGACCAATTCACGATACTAAATAAACATAATCCAAAATCAAAGCCAGAGTCTAAATATGTATAAAGGAATACCAACCAAATCAACAAAACCGATCCAAGAAAATACACAAATCCGAAAATGAAAGCCAATATAAATCCATTCAACCTTAACCAAATCACAAAGCAAATAACAAACAACCGAAATTGAAAGCAGGTAGTCGAATAAGCTACGAAATATAAAAAATAAATAACTATGCACTATAAGTTGATACGCGCCTCTACGGCGGGAGTTAAGTACACGTCAGAAAACAATTCATTACCGCGTTTTAAAAACCTAGTAACGACATCTAGCGGAATCAATTTAAACTGTGTATACGTTAGTTAATAAGAACTCTCAGAAAATATTTTTCTTATAATTTTGCTCAATTTTTCTTATTGTAATACCGATTCATTCATAACCACATATAAGAACTGTATTCATTTCCGTTCAATAAATATTACTAAGGCTTATTAATAAGGCTTACTAAGAACTATTTCTACCACAGTTAAGTAATAGTTAAGGGTGAAAGCGTGACAGGTGGTAATATTATTTCTGATCCATACTTATAATCACGCCTGTTACCCTTGCGGGGTAGGCAGAGCATCAACGGATTACTTAATATCGTCTGCGAGGTTATCGCCTATTCTGTGAATTACAATGCACCAAAACGTTGTGACGTGAAAGAAGGACAAACTTGTGCAACATATTCGATTTTCTCACGGGAATGAGATGTTTTTTCGCGGAAAAAAGTAGCCTACAGCCACGGAACTATCCCTATACCAAAATTCATGCCATGCCGACGCTCTGTTGCGACGTGAAAGAAGGACAAACTTTTGCACAATTCATTTTCCCACAATTTCCACGGAAAAACATCTCATTTCCGAAAATAAAATTTCCCACGAGAAGGAATAATTTTCCGCGGAAAAAAGTAGCCTATACGCAGACTACCCATACAACAGCATACAAAGAAGGACAAAATTTTGCAACACATTCTATTTTACCACGGGAATGAGATGTTTTTCCGCCGAAAAAAGTGACCTATGTCACTCTACAGCCACCGATCTATCCCCATACCAAAATTCATGCCATGCCGACGCTCTGTTGCAACGTGAAAGAAGGACAAACTTTTGCAACATATTCTATTTTCCCACGGGAATGAGATGTTTTTCCGCGGAAAAAAGTAACCTATGTCACTCTACAGCTACCGAACTATCCCCGTATAAAAAATCATGCCATGCCGACGCTCTGTTGCGACGTGAAAGAAAAACGAACATACAAACAAACACACTTTCGCATTTATAATAATAAAGTATGGATTTTTTTCATAATAGATATAGTCATATTTTTTTGTTTACTTGCGTTGTCTGTTACGTTGAACGACTTAGAATGTTGCTTAAAATTGTGCTCTAAAACATCATTGCCGTTTTTAAAACTTAAATATAAGTCGCCAGTCAAGATTCTTATTGCAAATAAACGCTAACATAAAAAAAACTGAGTTTGTTTAAAAAATGTACTTAAATTTCAAAATGTTATGTACAGAAAAATAATATTTTAGAAATGTCGCGCATTGTTCACTGGTTTTATGAATTGGAAGTTACAGTTTTCTGGTCCTCGCACAATTTCCTTGTAGAATCGACTACCACCAGCGATTTTTCCGAGCTCTTACGAATTAGGAAACTTTAAGAAAAGAGTCCACTCTTTTTTAAAAGGCCGGCAATTAATTTGCAAGGTGTTGCACTTATCATCAGGTGAGCCATATGCTTGTTTGCTCACTCTCATATAAAAAGAAGAAGAAAATGGGATTATTTCGTCGTTTCCTTTATGAAAGGAATAATGTTAGATTTATTTTGGTAGAAATATCTGCTATTAATTTGGAAGTTTGGATTTGTAATCTTATATCTCCATCGAAAATATTCCCCCCACCCCACCTCAGGAAGCATGTTAGGGAGGCATAATATGTTCCGTACTTGACATTTGATGGGCCATAATGAATGAATAAATGAAAAAAGTCTATATTTCTATTTTCTATTCTTTATTAATAAGTATCATGTGCAACTGAATAACTCGGCTGAAAAAATGTCTATCAGAATTTTCTTATAGGGCTCTTCTCTTACTTTGTATACAAGTCTCGCGTTGATACTTTCTGTCGCTGTAAAATTATTTATATTGATACCTCTATTTTCTGAAACGAAATAATAATACTCGTAGTGTTTTTATTCGATTGTTATGTCAATATTTAAAAAAAAAGATATAAATCTTAAAAAAGGTATATATTTGTGACTTTCATATGTGTCGGCACCTGCTCAGCAGCTGCAGCAGCACCTCTGTAGCTAGTTGGATTTATTGTAAATAACAAGTGCACCGCACACCTGCGCGTTGCACCTGCAGTGGCGCTAGTGTAGCTACTTGTCTCGATTGTATAAAACGGACGGAGCGGCCGCCGTTAAGGCAGTCTTGGCTCTGGAGTGGCACGGTGCACTTTATCCCGCACTAGCTCATCCTCGACTCTTTGGATAACTAATTCGTGGAAACAAATTAATTATTATTCTCGGCTACTAAATTAGTCTCAGTGCAATTGATAGTTGATTATCTGTGATATTCAACGATATGATATTTCATAGTTGTGTAAGGTAATAAATTATAAATTAATTCTATTTAAAAGAATTGTGCCGCTGGGTTTCTCGCTGGTTCTTCCCAGGACAGATGTTTTTTTTGAACCAGTGGTAGAAATACATACCATATTGAATAGAAATGATTCTATTCTATTCTAGAAGCCTTTCACGTAATAACCCCACGTTACACATTATTAGTAACTACCTTTCTACATCAGAAGTGAAATTAAAGCTTTCCATAATAACACTACATTTTCTAATTACCTTCCTACATATGCATCAAACTCCGTGTAACGTCTAATATGTGATAGAAGATCTTTCCTCAGTTTGTATTTGATTCTTCCCTCAGATGTGTCAATAAAAATACCTTGTTTTGCATAATGATATTGTGACCTGGTGATACAGTAAATATTTATTGCAGAAAAAAGGGGCATAGTTGACAAGGAATGCCCCAGATGAAATTTTAAAGACCAATTTAGCGATATTTTAAAAACGGCCAAAATAAAGGTACCCATAGAATAGAAATGTACTAGCGGTTAATAATATCAACTACCCCATATCTTCCCATAGGTGTCGTAAAAGGCGATAGAGGGAAACAGGCAGGAGATGGGCAGCAGCATCTTCTTGATAAAAGCAACTGTACCACAAAAACTGCGGATGCCAATCCGCTCGTCAAGCGTGACAACTGTGGTAATATACCTCCCACTTCCCTCCCCCATGAGTAACAACACAAATGAATGGCCCACAGTCCCTGGCGGCTCCGCTATACCTGGTTACGGTGGCGAATATAGTCGCGGTTGTGGCAGAGGGTGTTAAGAATCTCTGGTGGAGGTTCTGTTGCCATCTAAAACGACTCGACCTGGCGACATACAACGCTTGCACCCTGAAGACTAACGAGAAGATTTGTGAAATGTGATTAGCTTTATTGTGACGACTGGACGGCAACTGTTAAGTAATGTCTCAATAATCGCGAAGGTGAAAACTGGCAGCGATCAAAAATATTTCAAGGCACACTGGACTTGAACGTGAAGTTGGAGATGTCTCGTCTATTGAAGTCAAGGCTCCGGCCCCTCGTGCTCTAATCCAAAGGTCCGAAAACTTTGAGTTTGAGTTACAACACCGTTTTCAGTGAATAGAATATTGTAATGCAGTGTACGATATGAATGACAAGCTCGTGGAAAATGTCCGTTCGGTCAAAGCTAAATTCTGCAAGACCCGCCGCAGAAGAACACAAAAACTCTTCGATCACATGCTTAATCTATAGGCTGTCAACTTCGTGCAGTCCGCGCCCGCGGGGTTACAGGGGTTGGCAAGGACGAGGTAAAACGGTCTCAAAGGGGAAGCGAGCGGTATGCGGGAGGGCGAGCGAGCACGCCGCGTGCTCAGGAGCGCCAGTCGCCGGTGGTCGCTTGCAACGGTTACTTGTATACTAGACGCACACGAGATTACGATCCGAAGATAATTTGGCGAAAACCGTGTCTGTAGCAACAGGGCTCTCGGAAAGAACAATAAGAATTGTCAGTAAAACAAATACAATGGATGACACTGCAGGTCCTTCCAAGTTCAAATCTCCCAGAAAAATCTTGTTTCCCGAAAAGCGAATTGAAGATAATTTCACTTTAGGAGTGATACGACGTAAAGTGTGCTCTAAAGTGTTAAAAATTATTAAATTACTTTCTTATTTAGGATAAATATTATTATTATTATTATTCGACTATCAATCTTTTATTTTCCCAATTTTCGTTCTACTTTTGGCGTGCATTACATTTTATACTTGTACTAGATTTTGCAATCTTCCTCATGAACCACTCCGTCTATTGGAGAAAACCGCACGAAAATCCGTTCAGTTGTTTTTGAGTTTATTATACAGACAGACGCGGCGGGGGACTTTTTTATAATATAAAGTGATTTAATATTATATCAAATTCATCACTACTTCACAAAATACTTCGTAATAAATCTAAATAAATCAATTTAATCTCAAGATAATTCGATCCCAAATCCCTACGCGTGTAGCCGTGGGCGTGGCCTCGTGCACGAGCTGCGTGCTACCTCGTCCCTCTCCACTCTGTACCCCGTGGGCGCGGACTGCACGATGTTGACGGCCTATAATGGCTGTAAGACGTAAAATGAAGCTGCAGTCTTCAACAGATTTGACAACATACATGCAAATGAACAGACAGATCGCCAAATGCATGTGGCGGGACCTGAATGCCAGAAAGAGCCAACTGTCAAAGCTGAAGACTGAGTGTGGTAACATCGTTTCCGGGACACCTAAGATTTTCAGTGAGATTGTTCAGTTGAGTGGTTTTATGGGCAACTGTACACACCATCGTTGGACGATGGATATTCCGGACGTTAGTCTAAGCGGGATTAGAATGGCTCTCCAGCACCTTAAAACGGCAGGTCCCCGGGCGAGGATGAAATTACACAGAGCTTCTGAAAGCGGATGGAAAAGCGGTACTAGAAGTCCTTCAGGGGCTCTTTAATTCCGTCCTCCATGGTGGCACTACTCCGGAGGCATGGAGCAGAATTTCCCTTCTGAGCCGCGTCCACATGATATTTTCGAGAGTCATTACGAATCGTCTCGCACGCAAACTCGGTAACTTCCAGCCTCTGGCACAAGCCGGTTTCCGAAAAGGTTTCAGTACCATAGACCACATAGTAGTAAGTCCAACTTCGAGAGGTCAATCGACGGATTCAACTCGACTGGGCAGCGTTCGGGAAATTACGACACATATTATCGTCAGATATACCTCAAAACCTGAAAACTAGATTTTACAACCTGTGCGAATTGCCAGTGATGACTATGGATCTAAGATGTGGTCCTTCACTGCTGGCCGTATGAGGGCGCTCAAAGTCGCTCAGTGAGCTATGGATAGGGCTATGCACGGGATTTCTCTGATAAACTTAGAAATGAGGATATTCGCGGAGAACCAGAGTGACCGACATAGCCCAACGGATTAGTACGCTGAAGTGACAATGGCCGCCTATATAGCTCGAAAAACCGACAATCGATGGGGACAAAAGGTTGATGACAACCCCCGACTAGATGAAGTGACGACCTGGTAAGACATGCAGAAATTCGATGGATGTAGGTGGCTGAGGACCGTCTTTTCTTTCATTCCTTGGAGGGGGCCTATGTTCAGCAGTGGACTTGTGAACGGTCGTAATGATGATGATGATGATGATAGAATAGAATATAATAATTTTTATTCAATATAGATTACATATAATTCTTATTGAAAGTCATTTATTACTTTACCACTGGTTCGTAAAAATCCTCTGTCCTGGGAAGAACCAGCATAAAATCCAGGGAGACTTTTTTCTTAAATAAATTTTACAATATGAATGGTTAAAAAATATCTACAAAATTTATTTTTGAAATAGCTTGAAAACGACCATCTCATTCCCAGAGATTATTATCAACCATCGAGATCGAGCGGCCATGCCTACTCCCTGGCATGGCCGCTCGTCATGGTAATGTGTGAAAGAGTATGAATGTGTAAGCCCAAGACTGCTATGGATACGAATGAAAGTGGGCTTAAAGAAGTTGTTTGTGTTAGGGGTCTACGCCCCAGACATATCTAAGCCCACTTATATCCGAGAGCAGTTTTGGGAAATGGTAAGGATGGTGTTAATGAAGTGTAAGGGAAATGAAAATATTATATTTTCATTTATTATATTTTCATTCTTATTATATTATAGTTTACATAACTTACTTTATTTTTTATTTTTTTATTATTATTTTTTTATATATTTATTTAATTTATTTATTATTTTAGTATATGTAATATGTCTGATGTTGAGTCGTTTAGCTCTGCAAATGATTCTTCTACTTTGTCATTTCACTCTTGTAATGATTCTCTCAACGAGAGCGTGCTTAATTTACACGAACTACTCAAAGGAGTTTTTACGCCTTTTAACAACTCTGTGAACATATGTCATATTAACGCTCAAAGTATCCCGAGCCACTATTCCGAACTTGAAGCTTCATTTTTCCCCGAGTATATTCATGCTATATTAGTGTCGGAAAGTTGGCTGAAACCTTCTTTACCATCAACTTTATATCCCTTACCCGGCTTTGTACTTGTTAGGAATGATCGTGTTGGAAAAGGTGGAGGTGGTGTAGCAATCTACCTAAATGCATCAATTCCTTATAAAATTGTCTTAGCATCTCCCTCCTGCTATTCCGCTTCTTCTGAGTTTTTATTTGTGGAACTCGATGTCAAGGGCATCAGGATGCTTCTAGGGGTAGTGTATTGCCCCCCCATCTACCGACTACTTCGCCACTTTAGATATGGCTCTTGTTGATATTTGTTCTGAGTACACTCACTGTATAATCATGGGTGATTTCAATACTGATCTGTTGAAAAACTGCCCTCGTTCCAAAAGGTTTCTTTCAATTATTGAGTCGGTTAATCTTTCTATTCTCCCTTTAAAGGCTACTCATCATAATATCGGAACTGATGACTCATTGATTGATCTAATCCTTGCTGCTTCTCCTGAACATGTAATGACGCATGGACAGTTACCCGCTTTGGGTTTCTCACGCCACGACTTAATTTAT